GAATATCCCCAGTGCTTTTGGGTGCTATGGTCACAGACATTTTCACTTTAAAATGATACTACTCATGATTTTGTATAAATGGTATAATTTTACATTGTTTTGTTACAGTTTTGCTGGCATGTTTATGTATATGTTGGCTCATTTTTTATAATAAAAATGTTATATTTTTACATTATATATATATATATATATGCGCACATACAAACACATAATGTAAAAAAAAGCAAAAATGAACTACTATCTGTTGTATTGCCCTTTTTTACAGAACTTAGATATAAACTTCAACATATTTGCACAAAATATGATATTCATTTCATCTTTAAAAATAACAGAATTTGAAAATTTCCTTTAGTTAAAACCAAAGACCTGATACCTAAACATGAAAACTAAATGTTCTATATTGTATAAAATGTAATTGTTGAAACAGTACATTGGAAAAAGCAACAGACTTCTTCAAGTTCACATTACTGAACACAAAAGAACACCTATTTTGCTGAATACTGGCTTAGCTACAAAGAATAAATACAACTGAATAAAATTGAGATTATTGGCAATGAAAAAAAAACACCACAAGAAGGGCAATAGAGGAAACCAGGAACATCATAATAAGGAATTTTGTACTGTAACATAGCTTGAATTGTGACTATAGTAGAATACATATCAATAAATTGTGAAGTAAAATTATATTGTTTTAGCTTTGTAATTCAGTTAATTAAATAAATTGTGTTATGTGAAATGATTATATTTATTTGTAGTAATTTATTCTTTTGATCTTGATAAATTTACATATAAATTTCTTATTTTTTTATGTTTGGTATAGTTATGTTTATTGTAAATAATATATGATTTTTTAATTATTTAAGTTGATATAATGCACATCTGCTTACAAAATGATTATTTGGTGCATATTTTTATGTAATCTTCTACGTTGTTGTGTTAAACATAATGTTCACATAAATTAACTATCTCTTGTCTGATGATTAGCCCATAAATGAGCTTAAAAGCTTTACATTTGATAAATACATTGGAAAGATAGAAGAAGTTTATTTATTACATTTTGTAAAATGGCAACATGTGAAATCTCAAAACAGTATCTTAGATTATTTTACTAGGCACATCAAAAACAGTTGAACTTTTAGCTAAAAGACTGCCAAGTATCACAGTCACTAAAATTGTTGATGACCCTTTTCATTTTAGCCTGAACCCGTAAGCATAAAAATTGTCTGAATTATATATTCATAAATATATGAAACTTCTTAGGGGGGTTAAGTAAACTTTACACTTGGTTTTATAAGTTCAGTGGAAAAACATTATTCTTTCAAATAAAATTAAACATTTTTGGGTTTGAGTTTGCTTTCTATTTTTGTAGGTATTAAGAACATACTAATAATGAATTTTGTATAGAAAGTTGGGAAACATTGCATGTTTTCATGGTGTTGTAAATGATTTTTTTATTTCAAACAGTGTTCAGTAAAATTCTGTTTAAGTAAGTTCAAATTTTCTTTATGAAACATTAATTTTGGCTGATGTTCTGCTTATTATTTATTGATGTGTGCCACTACTACATAACTTAATCCTTCTTTGACTGTGGTCTTCAGTTGGGAGCATGAGTGGTTGTGATGTGTGCTACTACTACATAATTTAATCCTTCTTTGACTGTGGTCTTCAGTTGGGAGCATGAGTGGCTGTGATGTGTGCCACTACTACATAATTCAATCCTTCTTTGACTGTGGTCTTCAGTTGGGAGCATGAGTGGCTGTGATGTGTGCCACTACTACATAATTTAATCCTTCTTTGACTGTGGTCTTCAGTTGGGAGCATGAGTGGCTGTGATGTGTGCTACTACTACATAATTTAATCCTTCTTTGACTGTGGTCTTCAGTTGGGAGCATGAGTGGCTGTGTGCAATTTTTCTTTGTAATGGAATCCTATTTCTGTTCTTTTTTTACCAATCAAAGATATGGAAAAGCAAAAAAATAACTATGATAGGAGCTTTTTATTCATGTAAATATTTTTAACTTCATAATAAGCATAATACTTGGTTAGTGATTCTTAAGTAAAAAATTAAGCCACCCACCATGATTTGATCTTCTACTTCCTTACCAAACATAAAGCTGTGTTCAACATCCATCCACCTATTTATATGTGATCTTGCTAGTTCTTCCATAGATTAAAATTTGAGAATTTTTTGACATTTATTTCACTAAACTTAATTTTGTAACCTTCATTCCTTAATTTATATTTTTATATTTGATTCTTATAATATGAAGCTTCTTTCATTTTCTTTGCCTCTTTTGGAGTGAAACAACGAATTTTTATACCATAAATTAAAATTCACTAGCCTTCGCAAACTTACATAGGTATCAAACTGAACTTTGTGCTTGTGCTAACCCATTTACCATACTTTCAGTTTTACAGCTTTTTATTTAAAAAAATATATTTATTTACTTGTGTCATGAGTGAAATAGCTTCATAAATTTTACCCTTCCATACCTAGTCTAGATTATATCTATAGTCAATTATATTCAGGATCTCACTTAGTTGTAAGTATGAAAATTCTTTTACATAGGTAAAAGTTTAATATTGTAACCTATGTCTCAAGCTTGCATGTATGTGTTTCTTTATTAATTTTCTATTAAGATAGCCTATTCAAACATATGATATAGAAACCTTTAAAACCTGGCTTGGGATTATTTGGAATATGCATGTAGACAAGTAATTGAAGTGACCTATTAATATGTGCAATACTGCACTAAGTCTTCTGCCTGACTAAGAAAATTTATGTTCTGTACAGACATTTGGAGAGCCTTTTTACCCCAATAACCAGTTGAAGTCACAGTAGAAAGTAAGAAGCTGGTCAGTTTGATGACAAATACAAATATTATCAGGAATGAATTTGTTTGTTTTCCATTTACTGTCCATGTTTGATTTATTCTACCTATGCAATTTTTGGAATCTGCATTATTTTGATACTTTCAGATTTATTTATTGAATGTCAATATATCTGATTACAACAAGCTACTTAAGAACTGACATTTTGGTACTGTGACTTCTTCATTTAGCTATACGGATCACAATGCCAACCAAATTAGGGATTGAAAATCATTTAAAAATCTATCCAGCTAGTATCACTGTACTTGTTTGTGTACTCTTTATTGCAGCATTTATTTTGTTTTGGATAATTCTTATAGTAATTCTATGAATAACCAGTGGGCCGTACTTTCTGTTAAAATTTTAATTTTTTTCCTATTTATTTGTTCAGTTTTTATATCCCATCGAATGGGTACAACATCTATAAACATTAGGTATACCCTTTTCTCTGATAGCTATAACTTTTACAAGAATTAAAACCCCAATCACAGATTTATAAAATGTAATCCTCACTCTAGCAGATGAGTGTAGAAAGCTACCAAAGTAGGGTATTAAATTTTATGAATTTGTGATTGGGGTTTTAATTCTTGTTTCATTACTTCTTGTAGCAGGATCCCTACTTCATTTTAAAATTCCTAATTTTGTAATACTCTTGTTTGTTTACTTTTTATGTTATACCTGTATAAAGTATATATTTTACCTTTATAAACTGTCATGTATCTATCCATTGATATGTAGTTCTATCTGTTTGGTTGAATTTGGTTGAAAAGGTATTTAAATACGTGCATGATATGTTTAGCATTTATAAAAAAAATCTGTATATATTTATCGAAATATAAAAAGTGGATAGCCACAGACCAGTCAAGTAAGCTGGAGTAATCTTGTAGGGAAAGTCCAAACTGTCTAGGTGCTAGCCCTGCTGACGTGATCAGGTAGGTAGGTAGGTAGTTGACACCTAGATTCAACTATTAATTATGACTGGGAAACCTGATAAATCATTGATGAAAGGAATTTGCAAACATATAAGTTAAGTTTTGTAGCACGTGTTGGTGGAGATTTGTTTCTATAAACTTCCTACTAAAGAGTTAGACTTACTCCAGCTCAACTGATCTCATGAAAATAAAAGTAATCGCATACAGAAATAAGCAAAAATAGCCTATTCTGATGTATACATCTGAGAGAAACACATTTTGTGTCAAGAAGTATATATACACACACACACAGTATAATGTAGCAAGTGCACTAGAAATGACAGCAAAATTACTATCACCAACATAACCTAGTGATCAGCCCAAATTACCACGTTTATCTGGTTGTACTGCTATCTGGAGTTGGCAAAAACTTACTACATCACATAAGTACAAAAAAATAACTTAAGACAAAAACGATGTTCATTTCACCTGATTAATAGTCTGTATTCATTTCCCATGCATAGCAATACAAAGTCATTTCAGTTTCTATGTATGATCATGAGTTCACATTTTTCATGCTTTGAATTATGTATGTAGATAAGTAGTTGAAGTATGTAACTTAAGGACTCTAAAAGTGAGGTGTAAACATAGTTCTTTGTTTTAGATTATTTATATCTCTGTCCTGTGCAGACAGTTGGTGACCTTTTTCACTGTAGAAGCCAATTGAAGTTGCAATTGAAAGTAAGAAGCTGGTCAGTTTGGTGATGAACACAAAAGTTTTGTTTTTTTGTTCACTTGTGTTTGTTTTTCCTTTTTATAGAAATATATTAAGTCTACAGTTTACATCCTTCATCCTGTTAACAAGACCCTTTCAAGGATAGTATTAGAAAAACGGTTGATGCAATTCCAAATTACATATTTGTCATATAATTGATAAATGATGAAGGTGCCTGTAAAAGCATAGTAAAATTAACAGAATCCTGTTGAGGTAGTATAAAACTCATGGTATTATAGACCAACAAAATTTTCTTTGCATATTTCTGTTGTTAATGATTAATAGCAATAAAATAGTGTCCTATCTTTATCCTCACTGTTAATAAAATAAGGTTTCCATTGTGTTTTGAAAAGAAAGTCATTAACTTATGAACATGTGCATTAAACGTTATCATTGTTTTGAAATATTTTTTATAACCAATCAGCTCAACTTATTTTCAACAGAGTACAAGAAGGGAAAGATACAGAGTCAATTTATGAAGAAGATACTGATATTGATGAAGATGGAGGTTTGGAAGATATAAAACCAGATACTTCACACTTACCCTTGCCTCACATACCAGATTTCTTCAAAAATAAAGTTTTTTTTCTTTATGGAGAATTTTCTACAGAAGAGCGACGAATTCTTCTTAGGTATATTAAAGGACATTGTGGGTAAGACTTATTTAGTTCTGTTCCTCTTCCTCCTGTAAGTGAATGTTTGGCTTAGTTTTTGTGTATAAATTTTAAACGTATTCTGTTGGTCTTTATTTTTGTTGCTAATAATTTTTTTGCACTGGTAGGTCCATGGTTGTATTTTTATATAAAAGATAGCCTGAATACTTAAAGCATGACAACAGTTAAAATTTAGCTTATATTTATATTTAAGCCTGCTTTTTACATGGTTCTTTAAGGTTGAATCTTGTTTAAATTATTTTGATTTTGTATAGATCACAAAATGATAGGTTCAAAAAGACTGTAGATATATGTATGTCCTGGATTAAGGCTTTTGACATTTCAATACAGTGGTTATTGAAGATTATAAGTAATTCAGTTTTCCTTTGATTACCTTGGCAAACAAGAAGCTATTGTTTTTTTTTATTTTACTTTTGATACCTTAATTTCACATGGAACTGTTTTTTGCTAGTTGTTTGTCTAAGTTAAACTCACAAAATAAATAATTCCATCATAAAATTACTTAAAATTCCAATCTTTATTGTTAAACCTCAAAATGTTTTTCTGATGTTTCAGAAATTTTAGAGTCAAAGTAGAAATTGTATAAAATCTAACAGACACACTGATATCAAGCTGTACTATTGTAATAGAAGTTACAGAGATATTTTTTTAATGATTATTTATTCTTAGGTCAATTGAAGAATACATGAGTGACAATGTCCAGTACGTGGTAACTCTAGCCCAGTGGGATAAAAACTTTGATGAGGTACAGTGGATTTGTGTATGTTTCATTGAGCTGAAATGATATTGTGTTAAATTGCATGTTTTATAAAAACTTTTTCTCAAATCATCTAAGTAAAGAAGAAATTTTGTTGCAACAGGAATCTTGTTCTTATATGTAAACATTCTAGGTTGATTTAAAATACAGGTCACTAGTAAATAATCACTATTTTCTTCTTGTTAACCCTTGGGGAAAAAAAATCCTTTTACAAACGTACATTGCAGTGAATTTTGGAAACTGAAAGTGGTGAAATTGTTTGAGTTCCAGTATGTGATTTGTAATTAAATGAAAAACTCATGGACTATATCTCATAATAAATATATTTATTTTTAGTTTGATAAGCTTTTGGCTCTCTTACTGGAGCCTTTGTCAGGTTTTATTGTGAACATTGCGAAGAATTGACAATAGAACATTTTTGCTTCAGTTATTTAACAAATAATCTGGTGACAATATATTTTTTTAAAAGTATAAGTATTTGTCAGTGTGTGTATAATCGCACATACATTGATGTATATACACCTTATACATACTTATATATTATGTATTATTGTACTTCTTTGTTATAAAGTACAAAAAGTATACACCAAACTGTGAACACTTGTGTATATACAGAAGTACATTAATATAGATACATATTATAGAAATACTGTAAATGGACACTTTACGGCAGCCAATACGGTCCATATTTTACCAGATAAGAGAGGTCTAGTGGTATAAGTCTTAGATTTTGATTAAGTCCTTTAGGACCACACCTGTGATTTTCAAGAACAATAGTTACTTTGATTTTTCTTTTCTCATTCTATACTTCTTTGTGTTTAATTCTCACACTGTTCTAATTAATTTGGTGACTACAGCATGTGAATGTGAAGTTAGACTGACATTTCTATAAAGTTTTTGACGTCATGGTGTTCCTTTACAGATACATTTAAAATATTTTACATTTCACATATAATTTCTTTGCTGTAAGTGCATTGTATGCTCTAGATAATGTTTTGTTTGTTTGTCAGCTGCTGTTGTTTTTCTAAACATTTGAAAGTGTGTTTTTGATAGAACTGATGACTTTAAATGTTAGCTTTCTGGTGAACTTAAAAATAATACACTCTAGTTTTTCACTCAACCTAGGGATATAAAGCAATGACAGTCCTCTGTTCGTTTGCATCAGAATTTGGATTCTTTGTTTGTTTGAGGAAACTGTGCATTGAATGATCTGTTGAATTAGTTTTTTATATAGTTATTAGTTTGAATTACACGTTCAACAGGTTTAACTTCCACTTTTAAATTATTCTTTGTTTGTAGGAAACTAGAGTTTTTAATTGTTCCTGCTTTTACTAATGGTTTGTGATTTGAAGTTTAGGTATATGTCAGTATCGGTTTATTTCCAATACACTCATGTTACTAGTTTATTTATTTTTCTACATTCAGAAAAATTAATCTATATCTTTTTCACCTTGAGCAGTGAAACGAATGGCTGGATTTTGATTATTGAAAAGATTAACAGTCTTCAAATCTTGAAAGACCATTCCTCCATATGATGATGTCATCTACACATGTAACCTAAAGATTCAGTTGATTTAATGATATTTCAATAGCAGTATGTTTAAGTTGCTGCATGAATATTGTAACAATTATTGTGTTGTTGCAGGATATGTTTTTTTTAATTCATCCTTTTGTATGTTTTTTTTGCTAGAAATTTTGACATCACATGATGATCTTGTGTCCTAATGACTAAAACTTTCTTGAAAATGTAGGAAATAATTTTAGTAATATCAAATAGACTAGATGAGATTAGTTATTGATAATTGATTAAGACAGTTGATTAACTCAGTGCTAAACATCTTGAGTTTGTGCTTTCACAAAGCCACACAAGAAGTACCATACTTAAATTAGCAAGTAAGTGGAATTTCTGTTGAGACTATTTATTTATGAAGTTAGTCCTATCATTAGTTACATGGAACTTGAATTTCAAAACGTAAAATGCTTTTGTTATGATTAAGTGGACTAGAATTTGTATTTACTTTATTTTTTTGCTGAAAAATCTTGAAAAACAGTCCAACAGCAGTAATTGTTGCAACAATATATTGACCACCTTTTACCATTTTGTACTGTTCCTCCACATTTCTCTGTCACTTTTTTTTTTCAGGCACTTGAAGAAAACAGTAATTTAGTATTTGTTCGCCCACGGTGGATTTACTTATGTAATGAGAAAGGAAAGATGATGCCTTACCAGCCCTATGTTGTAGCCCCAAATCTAGGATGAAATCTTATGCAAACAAACTGAGGTGGATACTTTTTTAATATTTAATGTCAATTGTTATAGTTAAAAAAATTAAAATATTTTTAATGAAACATTCAAACTTTAAAAAATTGTTGTGGTTTGATCTAAGATAATTAAGTTAACAAATTTTATACACAATACATATGATTTTTGTATAAGAAATAAGATATAGATAAGTATAGTGGGAAGCAGTATATATATATAGATGTATATACTCTTTTTTTTTTTTCCACCCCTCCAGAAAATGAAGAAACTACCAACAAAAGATATAATGACTAGAAAGGGACTCAGGAATATTTATATAGTTCCACGTTTCATTGTAATAAAAGTCACAATTTCTTTTCATAATAGTAACTTTTATAACATTCCTAGGTTAATACAGCCATTCTAAGTCTAAAATTAATTGTACTACAGAACTGATTAAATTTTATCTGTACTTTGTAATAAATGCATTGTGATTTTTTTGAGACTGACAATAATTGTTTTATAAAACTAAATAATGCTTAGTTATTGTGTGTGTATATTACATTTCATAAAATTTTACCATTGGTCTAAGGATTTTTTTCTTACATTTTTATAGAAGAAACATAGCTTGTTACAGAGACAGGTCAACCTTCAAATTTTATTTAGGCATTCTCCAAACTGATGTGCTTGAAAAACTCTCGTAGAAATATTTTTCTTTTTCATTCATTCAAGTTACTTACAAAATTCTACACCACAATTCTAAACTTAGAAGATAATTCATGTGTAGGAGTTTTATGTGTAGGAGTGATTTGGTTAGTTAATTCGTTAATGTAGAAAGAGCAATTACTGTGCCTTACAGCACTATGTATATCCCTTCTTGTTGTATATTGAGCACAGTGAAGGTTTCAAATAGTTGAGTGGTGGGTGTTTATGCAAAAAGAGAATTTATTTAAACATTTTTTTTAGTTAGATCTACATGAACTCATCCATGTGAAGTTTGGAATTTTGTTCATATTTAAGTAAACACATCAGTTAGAAGTTTGGAGTTTTGGTTCCATCTGTCATCTCTTAGAAGATTACTTAGATTCATGAGTAGTTCTGTACTTTAATTAGATCCAAAAGAACATACAGTCACACAAATCCCAGATGGTTTACATTTTTCTTAACAGAAAAACTAAATAATAATTATTTTTATCATTTATCAGTAATCCAAACTTTTATTTTAAAACACAAGTTTTTAAAGCAAATCATAAGTACTTAAACATTTGCTTTTCTTTATTAAAAAATTATAAGGTGATACTTAGTGTAGCAGTTAATATTGGAACTTCTCAAATAAAAACATGGTAATATGTAACAGTTGTAAAATAAATGCAGAAATTTATTGTAATACATTAGCAAAATTTTCTTTGTGTATTCATAAATGTAAATAGTGGCTATATGTAAATTTAAAATAATGCTAAAGCTTGCTTGTCATACTCTTCACATACAAACAAATACGTTGAGCTTGTACAATTGGCATAGTAATGAGCTCTTTTTCAGGCTCATGTTTACAAGACTTCTGTGTTTATTTAAGCAGATTTTTCTGCATAAAATACATGTCTGCATACAACCAACCTAGTATTGAGCTCTTTTTCAGGCTCATGTTTACAAGAATTCTGTGTTTTTTTAAGAAGATTTTTCTGCTTAAGATACAGGTCTGCATACTGCCTATGTATATGAAAATGTAGATTAATACCACTTAAAGCAACTCTGCCATTTCAAATAGCATGATTAGTAGTGCTTCTAGTCACAATAATTCAAAGTGTGTTGCAAATGTGGATAAATGATTACCAAGTGCACAGAAATGGATGAAAGCAACACTATGCAGTTGACGCAAAGAGACAAACCAAACAACCGCTATCATGTGCATAATTAGATATGAGCTACAGCTCAATTATATTAGTCAATACTGTTTATCAAGAATGACCGATATTTTGAACAGTGTGCAGTTTAAATACATATTAACATGTCATGCACTGAATGCAGAAAATTGGAATAAAAACTAAAGAGAATACTTGTGTTATATTGTGGAAACCATAGGCTCAGGAAATCTATCTCAAGGTTCAGTTTGGCAAAGAAAAATATGATGGTATTCAAGTTCAAATGATGAACATTTCTATGTGCACAATATTTATTTACTCAAGTTGCTGCCATTTACATTGTTATAATTAAAGTAATTTTATTGTAATCCACCCCATTTGTTCTTTTGTAGCATAAATTGAAAATACAGCTGATTACCTTTCCTGAGTTTTTGCTATTACCTTTACTATTTTGAATATTAACCTCAGAAATATCTATGTGTTAGATAAATTTCATGACCTTCGTGAAAAGATGACTACCACAGTACTGGTTATCAAACTTGTTTGTTGAATAACAAATAATATTTGCTACATTATTTAAAAACATATTTCAACCAATTTGTATATTTCAGTTCATATTAATTAAATCCTTTTTCTCCTATAATTGTCTTTTTATTTCACCTGTTTTGTTCTCCCTATTATTTTATGCAATTAGTAATATAAATATGTTTAAGAAACCCAAATATCCAGTTATCTGTAATGATCAGCTTTTGTAATTTATATATATATATAATATAGAAAGGACATTTTTGTATAGGAAATTTGATATACCATCACGATAGCTTAACTAATAGCAAGCCAAATTTGAATGTCAGCATTCTTGAAATGTCACTCCTATTCCAGTTGTTTAAAAAAAATACTGAAATGTTTTTAACTCCTATCAGAAGGATGGTGTAAGTTTCCTGACAGATAAATCGTTTCATATTAATTTAGGATTATAATTTTTTTATCTGCATGTTTAATCTTTGGAAACTAACTTATGTAGGTCATAATAGAATGATGGGAAAAATATATATTTATTTGCATGAATGGGTTCTTGGAAATATAACAATATTAGGAGATCATGTTGAACCTAACTACATACCAAAGCAATCTAAGTGGGTATGTGGGTATTGAAATAATGTTCCATATGTTTTTCAAGGTTGGGAAATAAAATGTTCAAAAAAATAATTTCCTGAAAAAGGCCAAGACATTAAAGATTTAGTTACAGGTAGAAATTAGGAGGCTTATGTAACAGGTTTTTTATTAAATTAATTTTAAAAAAGATACTTTCTGAACATGAAATTCGGTTACTGTATAAAAATTGTGTGGTTCAAGTGACCAATCTTTTGTAATATTTACTCTCCATCATATAGGAGTGGTTACTCTTTTTGGTTTTATAACAAAATGTTTTTTTTTCATAAACATGTAATTTTGTGGTAATTTTAAGATATCATAAATAAAACCTATCATAAGTACACTGAAACTTAAAAGGTTATCTAATTCAATAACGTTTATGATTTATGCTTAAAATGACAAATCATTCAAAGTAATACAATTTTTTGTAAGAGAGATGAACTAAAAAAATGCCCCTAGAAAATGCATTGAGGCTTAGTTTACATAAAATCTCATAGATGGCAGCCAGCTCGAAATTTTGGGTTTGGCATCATTGGTAATGATGAGGTCTGAATATTTTAACTTACAAAGAATTCTGAACTTTTACCTAGTATGATTACAGGGAGAAATAACTTATTAGTTTATATTCTCATATAATTTGTATGCATTCATTATTACACGTTTAGATCAATATGAAGTGATACTGTAATAGTTTATTTTTAACAATGTCTTGAAAGAAAAAAATACATTTCTTGTAATGATTATCTGGTGCATAAGAAGAGTCATAGCTTTGTCATTATATATATGTGTATACATACACAAGCATGCAAAGATAAATACTCATAAAGCATAGTAAACTATGACATGAAATTTTAGTTGAAAATATAAAATCTAATTTCTAAATGTAGTTTAGTTTATCTTTGTTGATGACAGTAGAAAAACCAAGACTAACTATTTAGTTATAAAACTTTAATATCTAATGCAACAACATAAGTTTAATTCAGATTTTCCTAAACGTTTGTTATATATCACCTTATAAGCTTTCATTTAGGCTCGTTAGTTTTTATTTTAAATTTGTGTACGAATAGGTTACATGTATGTTACAAGAGAACTTATCAACACAAAAGGGACAGTATTCTGTGTAGGCTCCATCTATAAAATGTATCATAGATTAATGGCAGCATGACATATTCATGCATTGCTGTCATTTATTGGTGTGAATCAGTAATAGTTAGCTCTGAAGGAAAGCCTTAATCACTTTTTTTTGTTAGCATAAGACGTTCAATTTTTATCATTCATAACAGTGTGTAGTTGTTGTAGTTAAAAACGTGCTTGATGAACAGAGAAAAACAACTGCACATCTTATATTGTTTTATTCCAAAATCTTATGAAGTGTTTTTAAGAATCCCTTTCTTAACAGACTTAATTATTCTGGTAGTTTCTTGTGTCCTGTTTATGAATTATTTTTTCACTTTTTGCATTGTTCTATTTTTTCTTTCTCTTTTTTAAAGAGAGTATTAGATAGTTATGTCATAACTTAATTCATTTAAAACAATTTTAATTGTATCCAATACATCATCATCAAGTGTCTTGTACTAAACTGATTAAAATTAAGAATTGGTCAAATAAGTTTTTTATTTAACATTTTTTATGATTGACCTTGGAACCTGCAATGACTTGCCACAGAACAAAATTTCTTTATATATTCATTACCTTATACAAACAGGTACTACCTACAAAGTTCTAGATGTGATAAAATTTTGAAAGTCAAAGGTCAAGGTCATCAAACAGAATATCTTCACTAATTGTGTGGACATATTTCAATATAAGATGAATGGATATTGACCAGACTTATACAACAGGCACTACATACAAAGTTCTAGAGTTAATTAACTTTTGAAGGTCAAGGTCAAAAAGTCACTAGCATTTAGAAAATCTGCAGTAATCTTGTGGAAAGATCATCAAATTGGGGGTTTAAACATACAATATAGCATTAGTGTGGGAATAGGTTTTGTAAACTCAATTTACAAATATTATTGTTTAATGTGATGAGAATATGGTTTACAATAAATATCCATTGGCAAGACGTTAAGATACACTACAAAAATTTGCCTTTGTTGAATGGTTCATGAATGAAAATTCATTTCTTGGTTGACCTTTATAAACAATTGCCTAGTAATTTTGATCATCTGATGTTTTTTTTTGGATTTTGTGCTTGCTGAGACAACCTTTTTTATACAGCTTTTACGGATTTGTTTTCTAAATCCTCATGTTAGCTTAGACTTAATATAAAATATCGACAACAAGAGACCATTTGATCCATAAAGGCTACCTTGCATACTAGCCATGAGAAAAATAAGAATTTAAGCTCTCCATTTAGTTTTCAGGAAGTCATTGATTCCTCTCCCATAAATCTGTAAAATGCTAGCTTCCATTACTGCCAATGGACAACTCATTCTATAAGTCAATAAATATGCTACAGAAATATAATTGTCTTAAAGGAGCCTAGCTCATCATTTCCAAATTTTTAAACTTGTGTCATTTCATCCTATTGATCCTGCTGATAAGCTTGTAAACTTGAATAAAATAAACTCTCATCCTTCTTTTTCCAAAAGAAAATAAATTGAGACCTTTATCTCTGTAAGATAACTTTCCATCCCTAAAATCATTCTAGTAACCCTCTGTTAAACCCTTTCTGAAAGGTAGATAAGGAGACCAAAACTGTGCACAGTATTTCAAGAGAAGCCTCACTAATGAATTTTATAATGAGATGATTACTTGTAATCATTATGTCTAGAAATTCACTGTAAAATACCATTAGCTTTACATCTAGCAACAGATACTACTTTGATGGATTGAGTGACATTTACCAATATGTGAAGATCCACTACATTGATGGGTTGAGTGACATCCACCAATATGTAAAGATCTATTACTTTGATGGATTGAGTGATATTCACCAATATGTGAATATCCATTACTTTGATGGATTCAGTGATATTCACCAATATGTGAAGATCCACTATTTTGATGGGTTGAGTGACATCCACCAATATGTAAAGATCCATTACTTTGATGGATTGAGTGACATTTACCAATATGTGAAGATCCATTACTTTGATGGATTTAGTGGCATTCACCAATATGTGAAGATCCACTACGTTGATGGGTTGAGTGACATCCACCAATATGTAAAGATCTATTACTTTGATGGATTGAGTGACATTCACCAATATATGAATATCCATTACTTGGATGGATTGAGTGACATTCACCAATATGTGAAGATCCATTACTTTGATGGATTGAGTGACATCTACCAATATGTGAAGATCCATTTCTTCAGTTGGACTGCTGAGCATGTTCCTAGCTATATTAAATGCATGATAAACATTTCATAACTGAAATGTATTACCTTGCTGTAATTTAAGATCATTTGCCAAATATTTGTACAACTAATTAATTGATCCAAGTAATCCTGTAATACCTCATCATTCTCAATACTGCTAGAAATACCTAAGAATTTAATGTCATCAGCAATCTTTACTAATTATGCCCCTATCAGGATCATTAGTGTAAATAAGAAGAAACAAAGACAGAAACATTCACCCCTGAGGCATTCCACTAGTGTTACTGGACTCAATTAATACAACTTTATTAATTTCTCCAGTCTAACCACCATACAATCCAGTTAACTAGCCTTTCCCCAACTGCTACCACTGTGATTTTCTAGGCTGATCTTTTGTGTTGTGTCTTATCAAAACTTTTTGAAAGTCCACACCCTTTCTGTGGTCCAGTAACATCTTGAAAATAAAAATAACAGGCTAGTAAGGCAAGATGTCTTTCATGAATCAATGGTGACTTTTCTTATGATATCATATTTCATTAAATGATTATATAAAAATTCTATAATCAGAATCTTCAGGATTTGTTCCAATACAGAAGAAAGACTAACTAGCGTATTATTTCCAGGGCCTTATCACCCCTTATGTATTAAAGAGTAACACGAGCAACACTCCAGTCCTGGAGCACTTTCAAACTGTATTTAGACCCATGAAAAGTAAAAAGGAGAGAGGCTTGTGTATCTGACCATTGACCTTCTTTCAAATCCTGGGGAAAACATTTTCTGTCCCTGGCACTTTATCAATTTTTGATCTCTCAGTATCTCTACTTAAAACCAAAGGATTAATATCTACATGTTTCAGGTCAATTCTGATATTTTTCTTAGAATATTCAGGGTCAGTTATATTTCTAATATTTCACACCTAAAAAAATATATATATAAAACAACATTTAACAGCTCAGCTATTTCTTAGTCTTCAACAAAAGCCTCGTCATCAGCATAATTTAAAGGCTTATCTTTAACATATTTAAAAAAGTCCTTGTAGGTTTTTACACTATCAACCAGTTTTTTTTTAAACTTATTTATTCAACCGAATCCTTGGCTTCCCTATAGTTCTGTACATCATACAACTTATCTGTCAATTTAAACTAAAGACATTTTGTTGTGATTATTTCCTTTTATTTGTAGTTAGTCAATTAGGTTGATCTTAACTGTTATCCTTTTCCCTTTTTAAAAAATATACCTATTTTGAATGAAAAGCAGTTTATTTTGATATCTGCGTCACATCACCTTTAACTCATTATCCCAATTCACAGATTATAAATCTTGTCTCTTGGATTCAAAGTTGACTTTGTGAAAAGAGAGGAACTAAGATTGCTTGTAATCCCAACATGTAGCAAAATACCAAACGTAATTATGCAGTCATTACTTTTTCCTCAACTGTTTCCCCACTTTAACTCGTTCACCCATTTAATCATTTTCGGTTAACAGTAGTCTCCAGTGGTAAGTCTGCAGATTTTTACAACTTTAAAAACCGGGTTTCTATACCCGTGTTGGGCGCAACATTGATAGCCCGTTGTGTAGCTTTGCACTGAACAACAAACAAAATAGTAAAGCTGAAATGGCATAAAATTTAGTTTGAAAACAAGGCAGGATATACGAACAACCGAGCTTCGAGTTGTAGATGAAATCTTACCGTCCCATAAATAATAAAAAAAAAAGAGTTACCAACTGCGTGTAATAAATATACATGGAGGGAGGAAACGTGAGTAGCTCAAATTTTCGTTGGTTCTCTGTAAGTTGATTAATTGAGTACTGTGTGTGTGTCACTCTCAGGTGGACAATGATTAATTTCAACTAACATGTAGAAATTCCATGAATGTAAAAGTGTTTGTGACATTTAAACGATTATTTTTAATGTCAGGCCTTCTAGCTCTTATAACTACGTATATTCATAATCATGTGACTATCTGCATCACCAACAAGGCCATAAGCAAGATTTTGTAAGTCTATTAAAATGCTGCACACATAAAGTAAATTCCATTAATTATTGAAATGAGACTACAAATGGTTTCGAGACATGGATTTTCTGTACTAGTAACTTTCATTACGTATGGGTCGAGATTGTATTGCCAAAATATACCATACATTTTTTATTGTTTTACGATACAGATTTACAGTTTTTTGCAAAGAACTTGTTGAATTAAATATCATACCATTCTTATTTTTCTTATCCAGTTTTGATGAATCCAAGCAAGCTGATTGGAATGAGGGAAACAATTAACAACGTAATCAGCCTTCTGTTTGAATAATAACTAGAGCTTTTGTTAAAGAACACGTGTCAAGCTAGAACGATGTAATATATAGAAATGTATTTATCTTCAAACAACATAGCGGATGATGTACGTGAAAGTAATTTTATTTTATGCGACTTTTAACTTCTTTGCGTAATTAACTTTTATGATAGCATTATATGATAAAGCACCGAAAAATTCTAAATTATTCATAGTGGATTATTAAACCATGTCTAACAGAGACAAATGTTGCCTTTTACAGTAATTTGAACTGATTTTCGGTTGTAATCTTGATTATTTAGATATGGCAATATCTTGTGTATATTGGTTTATTTCAAATATTGTATTTATCCAATATTTCTTGTGTATTGTGTTTATTTGATGTCTCGTGTACATTATGTTTATTACAAAATAAGAAATCCAATAATGTACAGCAGCTCATCATGACAACACAGCTGTATTTAAGTTGGATTTCACTGGGAATGTTACAGATGTCCGAAAAGACAGTAATAGGACGGAAAAGGAGAAGACTGTGAGAAACATGATAATTAGTATTACAAAAGGATGAGTTTTTCCAACCGAATAATAATATTTACATTTA